CCAGGAACAACAAATTTTGTAATTCCAGAGACGTATAGGGGGTTGGTTCTTCATGATTCAGGGGCAGATGATCCAGACAGAATTCTTGTCTTAGGTGATCAGGAGCTTTTAAATAAACTAAATAAAGACACAATATATGGCGATGGCACTTTTGACAAAGTACCAACCATGTTTTATCAATTAAACACATGGCATGCAAAAGTGGGCAACTCATATCCACCATGCCTTGATATTTTATTACAAAGAAAAAACTTAGAGACATATAAACGAATGTTTGAAATAATGAAGATGCTACTCCCAAATTTGGAACCTCAAAAGATTTTAGTTGATTTTGAGAAGGCCTGCATGAATGCAGTGAGGATAGCTTTCCCTAATGCTGAGGTGAAAGGCTGTTATTTCCATCTGTGTCAAAGCCTTGTCAGGAAAGTGAACAGTGTTGGACTCAAAGCAGAATTTCAAACAAATATAAATATGAGACTAAAATTAAAGTCTCTTGCTGCATTAACCTTTGTCCCAGTGCATGATGTGAGGAATGTCTTTGCTGAGCTGGCCGCCACATTTCCAGATGAACAAAATTATAATGAAGTACTTACATACTTTTTTTCAACATACATTGAGGGAGCAGCAGGCAGAGATCCCCAATTCCCTATAACAATATGGAATCATCATGATGCAGCTTTTCAACGTTCACCTAAAACTACAAACTGCTGCGAGGGATTTCACAATGCTCTTAATTCCCTATTCCACTGCAGTCATCCCAGCATTTGGTTTCTTTTTGATGGACTGCAGAGGGATCTGGCTTGTCAGAGACTAACGCTGGCTAATGCACATACAGGCCGTGTAGAAGTGAAAAGGAGAAAATATGAAGATCTGCATGTGTTGGTTGCCACTGCCGTACAAGGATATGATGGGGAGGACGACAAGTTAAAATACCTGAGAAGACTGGCTAATTTACAATAAAGATTAATCATTGATTAGTGGAAATTATTTTTATGTTAAACTTTTTGAAACAATAAAATTCACAATAATAGTATAATAGGAACAATAATTGTTGTGTTTAAAATTGTGTTTCTAGATTTAATTTTATTATGCAAAACTATTTCTAGTTAACTTTGTATGAAAATAATAATAATAAAATAAAGAAAATCCTATTTATAAAAAAAAAAATAACTGCAACCATAACAAAGCATGTTATTTCTTTCAAACATCTTAAGATCTCTCACAAAGTAATATTGAATACACGCTATCAATGTGTCATGGCTTTTAATAGTTCTAGTTATTGTAGCCCCTAAAATTAGTGTAAAGCAGTTTTAAAATTAATTGAATTCTCCTTAATTTACGTTTGTTTCTAAATATATAAATCAATTTCAAGTGATTTATTTTAAAAAGACGAATTGCATTTGAGTGAATATTATGAGATTCACATTCAATTAAAGTGATATTTTTCTAGCACATACCAGTATACAAGATTGCAACACAATTAAAATTTCAAGTGAATAATGCTGTAAACTTTGTTTTAAAAAGTTACAAGTAATTTAGACAAGATTTTAAATAAAATGCTAACCCTGAAAAATTAAAAAATGTTAAACTGTTGTAATTATAATTTTTTTTTTTTAAATTTCAAAGGAAAACATTCAACAAATTATCATATAAAATTCATAACAAGTACTTTGTGCTAGACAAAAAATATTTTTAAAATTCTTTAAATTTTAAATAAAAGAAAACATTTACCCAAGCCAGAGATGTGAAACCTACTGTAGATGGTGTCATGGTCATTTATTGAAAATCTTGAGGAAAATAATGCCAACTAGTTTTTTCCATTACAAATTGATTTTCAAGACCACAATTTTATGACATTAGTACCTACCATTTTCAAGACCACAATCATATGATATAGCATTATAATTAGTGCATACCCTTTGTAGAAAACCAAAAGTTTATTGGGTCCATTTTCCTGCATTTATTCATTTGTGTAAAACTAAATCAAAAATATATTAAATAAATCAAATCCATTAGGATTCAATATTTCCTTAAATCCTCTCTTGTTTTAATTAAGACCAGGAAACTGTCTTACCTCTATATGGTGGAAATAACCTTTCATTATTTACACTCACGATCATAATTATAAAATTCATTACCATAGAATATGTTAAAAGTTAAAAGACTTTGTAAAAAAGCAACTACATTAGACTAATTAGTTAATCACTGACACATTAACAAACAAATTTAAAATAATGGAACAGTAGGCTAATAAACAGTAGGATTAAATACATTTCACTGTCTGAAAGAAAAAACTGAGGGAAACAGTTCAGTTCTTACCATTACAAAATAAATTATAATTTTAGTAGAAATGTCCAGGAATTTTGCTAGGGTAATTTTATGATTGCTTTCCTGAGTGTACTAAAGTGAAACTTAATCAGCTAACATTATTCTTTTTTTAACTTAATATAGCAAGTATATGATATTCAGATTATCTGTATGAGTATAGAGCATTATATATGCTATAACTTAAGATATTCCTGAGTGTACTAAAGTGAAACTTAATCAGCTAACATTATTCTTTTTTTAACTTAATATAGCAAGTATATGATATTCAGATTATCTGTATGAGTATAGAGCATTATATATGCTATAACTTAAGATCGTTATTTTTAACTACTCGGCACTATAATTTATATAATATAATGACACTCAGGCTCACTAGGAGTGCGACAATTATTTTTAACTATAGAAGAGTATACAGCTTAACGAAACTCAGGAGGTGGACCATTATTTTAAACTATAATGAAACATAATTAGGCTTAGACTAGGACTAATGCATTATTTTATAATATACTATATTCTATATAATATATAATAGGCCTATATTTATATATAATTAAAAAATACTTAATATACAACTACAACTCAATTATGCTTAGTAGGTACTGGGAATAATAGGAAGATGCATGATTCCCTCACAAAGTGGCACTGGAAATCAGTGAAATTTCCTCATCGACACCAGGAACAGAAACATTGCAAATCCCATCTACATGCATAGGAGTAGGAGCCAAAATGATCAATAAATTGATCGTGGGCCATTAAGATATAGAAGAAGAAGATTATTTTAAACTATAATTAATAAAACTAAAATACTTCGGACGATTATTTTAAACTATATTTATAATACTTCATTACGACTACTCTACTACTACTATTACTATTACTACTAATTGTCGAAAATATAACACTGCTTACGCCTACAGTTACAGGCGTCATTTTGCTTATTGCGACTATATTGTCACTATATATAATTTAAAAGTAAAAGTAATACTTTCCATACAGTTATCACACTCTTGGCTCTTATTAAACTTATTAAGTCTTGTAATGTGTAGGCCTACAGTTTTCTTCATTTATCAGTAATATACTTAAATATTTTAATGGAGCATTACAAAAATTACATTACAATATTAATAGAAATGATTCTTCTTTTGCCACATAGAAATTTAACTTTTGGTGCATAAATCTATTGTTACGTATATAATTAATTACTAATATTACTAATATTATTATTATATTTGTGTAAAGTCTTTGAGTATAGTTTTAAAAATCAGTATTTCTTCTTTATTTAAAATGATTATTTCTAATCCTAGCTACGTATATTTGACGTAGTCTTTTACGCTGATGACCAACAACTTTTTCAACTCTTTAATGAATTTACAATTACATATTAAATGTAAAAGGTCGTGTAAATTCACATTGTGCGCATTTGTATGTGTTCGCTATTGTCAAGGTTCGCAAGTGTCCGTGTGCGCAATTTTCGGTGTACGCAATTTTCTGTGTGCGCAGCTGTCTTTGCGGAATTTTCTGTGCGCGACCATGTTTAATTTTTGACTGGTCACGTGACAAAGTCACCATCTCAAAGCGACCACTTTGATCACACGACTGTAATGTGTAATACTTCCACTGGTTGCTAATTGTTTTTTAAATAAGTTATTTACACTTAGACCACCATGGTAACATTTCATAACTAGAAATGACAAAAGACCTAACACAAATTAAGCCCCATCTGCATCCTGAAGCAGTGATGTAGGAAGGGTGCATTTTCTATCAATTACAGTTTATTTTTCATGGAGGGGGGTGGGGTGACACAACTTTGAATCCGCCACTTTACCCAATATCTTTAATCTCATTTTTTAACACAGTCAGACGCTTTACCCAATATCTTTCATCTCATTTGCTGACACAGTCAAACATGTGTATATCGTGTGACTTATAAAAAATAAAAAGCTTTGTTTTTTTTTAAAATATATTTTTTGGGCTTATTTGTTTAAGGGCATTGATGATTTAAATAAATAGTAACTTAATACTTGAATGTCTGAATGAGAATGTTGTAAGCATTTATTTGCTTTTATTTGTATCAAACAAATATTTTAATCGTGTTTTTATGGGAAATGTTAAAGTTTCTTTGTGTTAAATCATATTTTTTAAAACATTAATTATAAAATTAGGACTTCAAACTGGATACAGTCCAAAAAAAACAACATTTTTTAAGAATACGTTTCTCAAAACTGGCTAGAAATTTCTTTTAGTCAATCTTATAACTAATAACAGTATATTGAGAGGTAGGGTGATTTAATATCTCGTCGAATTAAACGGAAGAACACAATGTTTCTGCAGTGGTAGTAAAAGCAGAGTCTCGTTGGATGAGGATTAGCTATGTTTTTGTATACCCATGGTTCACGTAGACCTATTTATTTTGCACTCTTTAATTTGATGCATGAAGTTTTCTTTAAGAAATGGATTTAAATACTTTCTCACTGAAAAATAAGCTGAATGCATTTTTTTAAAGAAAAGGAAAGTAATATTAATGGTAAAAGGACATGTTCGAATTTTTTTTTTTTAATTGCTGCTGAGATTAACCATAAAGTTATATTCAGTATAATAAATGAACAATTAAGGAGATCAATTCTAAATTTTAATTATTATTATGAAAATGAGGATCTCTTTAATAAGTAATTGCTGTATTAAAAATCTTTTAATGGAAGATGTCAACATGATCATCCTGAAAAAAGAGAACCTGACAGTGTTTTCTTATAATGTCACTCTTCTGTCCAAACATAAGATGTTATTTTTCTTTTTTTTATTAGTCTACTCAAACACATAACACAATCTCAATTACATTTTGTAGGTCCTATCTTCAAATTCCTAAGTGTGAGATTGCAAGATTTGTTTAGCCTGATCCGCTATAAATTATACAATCACCAAATCCAATAAATTCTTTTCAGACTAATACTAATATGTACACTTTGTATAGTGCCAATTTTAAGATTATTTTATTAATTTCAATTTTTTCATTTGACAATTTGGTTTAAAAACTATTACATATAGGCCTAATACTATGTTGATGATCGTTTTTATTTCTACCTAAGTGCCCATGAAAAATTTCTTGTATTTTCATGGTCTGTAATTCATGATGAAAATAATAAATTGAAAAAATACTGAGATGTGCCTTCAACACATCAAAATAAATTTTCATAAATACAGTAATACAATAAATTTGTCATTTTAGAATATCATAATATGAGAGAAACATTAATCAATTTCAAAGAAATTATAATATATTATAGTTATTAAATAATTTATAATCCCAATGCAAATGATCTGTAAAAATAAAATAATGGAAAGAGAAATAGATTTCTAAATATAATTTTAATAACATATAGATATACAACAATCAATATTTAAATTAATGAAATTAATCTTTAGGGGAAGATTTCAAATATAAGATTTCAAGAATTCATCAATTGTTCGCTGTCTCTGATTACACTTTGCAATCACCAAACTCTCCTGTATCATAAACACTTGATCAACAATTTGATTCAGCCCTTGACATTGAGCATATTTGCACAATGTTCGAAGAGCATCATTAGCATCTGCAAATGTAGGCCTCCTTCTAATATCCACTGCAATAGTATCATCTTCAGAGTCCCTATCCTGTTCAACTGCTTGGTATGTGCTGGAATAGTCACTAGAGTGATGCACCCAGTGGTGCACATTCATATCACAAATTGCTAAATTATCATCAACAACACACAAGTCAGTAAATGTACCCCCTATGAGCTCAGAAGAAATTCTGTCAAACTCTGGTGGATTGAGCAGATCATTCCTATTGAAAACATCAGTAATGTTCGAGGAATCTGAAACCATACCAAATCCACATCTAAAGAAGCATCTCTTGATGGTTGTCTCTGGGATGTCATTCCATGCAGAGGCTATCCAATAAAGGGTATCTATAATGTCACTAGTTTTCATAAGCTCACTAGCTGTAACATGGGGGTGAGCCTCCATTTCTCCTGTCAATGCAGACAGCTGTTTTCGACGAAAGCCTCTTTTGAAGTCTTGCATCACCCCCTGGTGCAAAGGCTGCAAAACAATGCTGATGTTGGGTGGCAGATACTGAAGTTTGATGTTGGAAAGCTGCAGAAACTGATGGCAATAGGCATTGTCTAGGAAAAGAATAACATGGCGTTGCTGTAGCGCCATTTTGTTATTGAATCCTGTGAGCCAAGCAATAAAAATATCACTGCTCATCCAGGCTTTATGGGAAAATTTGAAATCTACTGGAATAAGTTGTATGTTCATGTCTTTAAAATTTTTTGAAAGTGACATGTTCCCAATGACCACAGCAGTTTCTTTTTCACCGAGCATGTTTGTGCAAAGCATAACTGTCAGTCTGTCAATTGCTTTACTTCCTGTTGGACACTGCTGACCCTTAACATAGAAAGACTTATCAGCTGTCATTCGAAAGAATAAGCCAGTTTCATCTAAGTTGAAAACATCTTTGTCTTCATACCCTTCACACAAAGATTTTACTTTTTTCTTCCAATCAATGACTACACTTGGATCTGCACTGCTGCCCTCAGAAGCTGGCTTTCCAAATACTATATTATGTCTCCTCGCAAATGACTCCAACCAACCATTAGAGGCCTTGAAAGTCTTTATGCCACTTTCTGTGGCAAAATTCAGTGCTCTTTCTTTCAGCATTGGCCCATTCACTTTAATATTTCTTCTAGACATCTCTTGGTACCATCGCCAACAGAGCTCATTGACACTTTCATTTCCTGTTTTTCTCATCTGGCGACGCTGCTCTAATGGTGCATTCTGGTTAAAATTGTTTATGTATTCCTGTTTTCTCTTTAAAGTTAATTGAATTTGTGTGCGGCCAACACCAAGCAGCTGTGCAATTTGCCTTGTACTCTTACCCTCTTCATTTAGCTTTATCACAGTCATCCTTTCACCCAATGTCAGTGCTTTCTTTGGACCTCTGTAAGCATTCCTTTTGTCTGGCAGATTTGGTGGTGTTGTTAGAAGTATAGCTAGATTGTCTTCTGAAACTGCCTTCTGTGAAGGAACTTCAATTTTAATTTTTTTCATAGGAAGGATTTTTCCTAGAGCCCCAGAACTCTCTGAGCCGTAGCACTGATCAGTCATAAGGCCCACTGTAATACCTTGATCTCTGATATTCATACTACAAGCCATGTTAATGGCTTGCAGATGGACAGCATTATTAACTTCCAAATTTTTCTCTACTAAGCTTACGGGTTGAATTTTAATGTTCGCTGTATCCATCGGTTTCCACATAAAACATGTTTTGAAACATTTCCAACTGTCCTGCAGAATAGAACAATTATAAATTATATTCTCATTGAGATTGACAATGTCAAGGGTGAATGCATAGTTCCATGCATACTTTTCTATGCTATAAGCTTAAATAAACCATAGTAATAATAATAATTTCACTCTAACTGAAAGTTACTGACTAGCTGGTAAGTAAGTAGCTTATTGAAAATAGATATTAAAAGAAAAAGCTAAAAGCACTAGTGATGTAAGAAATGTTCAAATGATCATACAATCCATGATGTTAATTGAGTACTGGTAATAATTTTTCAGGGATAAAGAATTTCTAAAACTTCAAAACATTTAGAAAGGTGTCCTTACTTCATGATCATCTTTCAGATTGATTTTCCTCCGGAGAAGTTATCTCTTTGAACATTGGTACCCAGGGATTTTCTGAAAAACTGTACATCATCACAGCCAACATCACAGAGAGAAGGCCAAAAAAGAGTGTAAGAAAATACATGCTTGCATTGGCAATCATCAACATCCAGGGCAATACTAATGACACAGCAGCATCAAGCATTGTATGTGTTTGATGTGAACTGCAAAAAAGAAACGAGAATAAAATGGTGGAAAGTTTTGGTATGGGATTCATTAAATTTAAACATTACTCAGAAGCTTCAACAGTGCTAACTTTTTTTGACTAAAATTTTTAAAAATATATTTCTTTAAAAAACAACCATCATAATAAAATATTTTTTAAGGAAACATTAGAAAAAAATATTTGTTTTATTTTAAAAAAACCACTAGTCTATATAAATCTGTCTTAGTAGGGATCTATCATGTGCTGATTTTCTATGCTTTATTAAAAAAAATCAGAACAGATTGAGATTGAGGCCTATCTTGTCCCATTCTATCAAAATTGTATCAGAAGTATTGCCCTAATTACTACTTGCATTCACAAATTACTACTCTAAATTATAACTATTACTACCACACGCCAGAAGTGATTAGTGACTATTTAAATTATATCTAAAATTTAGGCACTCAAACTCAAATACATCTGACATACATAAACAACATATCATTAGAACAGACTGACTTTCAGCTCTCTAATGAAACCAATTAACTTTCTATCATTTATAGTATAGGAGAAACGTTATAAACTTTTTAGTGATTTATTCCCCCCCCCCCATTATTTATCTTTGTAATTAATTCTAAAATCTATGATTAAATTATTACTCTTCTTGAACTATTTTGTTTTTATTTTATTATTTTTTTTGGCTATTATTAAAGATTGGAACAATCAAATTTGGAGGAGACTTTTACAATACAATGATTAACTAAACAAAACACATGAAGTGTGAATTAATAAATTTACCAATTATTTTTCTTAAAATATGATCATATTTGTATTAAGGTGTTGTTAACGACAGTTGTCGAAAAATTTATTTTTACAACAAAATTAAAACTATTTACCAAACATAATGAATAATGATAAAGCTTATGCCTATGCCATGCCATATAATTATAATGGCAATAATGGTATACAATTTTCAGTGGAGTGTAAATTTTGTAAAGACAACTCACTCACAAAGTCAAAGTGTGACACTGACGAAGTAAGTGTGTTAGTGTCACTTTGTACTTTGTTATATTTATTATAAATTATTATAATTATTACTTATTATTATTAGTTATTAGTAGTATTATAGTAATAGTATATGTCATAATAATAGGCTTACCTAGTTAACCTAGTAAGCCTATGATGACTATGGTAATTTTTAGACAAGGTGAACTACTCCTAGAACTCTTAACGCGCCACAGACAGTTCTATTACGTGACACAACATAATTAGTACGAGTATCGACAGTTGGTAATGGTCATGAATGTTTGTAATAACAAATAATATAGGAACAATTTTTCCGGAAGTTATTTAATATAACACAAACAAAGGAGAATATCTCCAAACACAAAAGATTGTCAATAGGGTTGGTGAGACCGTGAGAGATTATTCATACTAACTTTTCCTGAGCATACATTTAAAACTAACATTTGACAACAAGCTCTAACTCTAAATTTGGTAAATTAAAGTCAAATTAGGGGCACTCCTCAGAACGGCGGTCTAATATAGTAGTAATAGCCGCCGATTAATAACTAATTGGTGAGGTAATTTTTTTTTTCACTTCAAACTTTATTTGTTTGCAGATTAATTGTTGCTTGTAATGATTTAATGATATAAAATAAAAATAACCATGGCCAGCAGAACGCACGCGCCAGTTCATATTTCCAATAATTTTTTGTCAGGAAACATTCTACAAACTTATTACACAAGCACAATGCTGAAGGCGAAGGCTATTTAGCCTATGCTTTTGTTAGTGTGGTTTGCTGAACACTCTCTGCCGTCTAATTCTAATAACTAATATAAAACAATTCAAATTCAACAGATAACTTTTGTTTCTCTCTTGAATTTCCCGTCTTTTTCTTCTTATTTTTTTAAATTTTTAAAAAATTACATATTTTAGGAGATGATTGATGATGAAAAGCCTGATGAAGATCGTGATCTTAAAAAAAAAAAGAAAACATTTAAAATTAAGTCAACAATTTTCGGCGGCAAGTAACCAGATATTTTCTAACGAATAGTATAGTATTAATAGTATTATTATTATACTTTAAATTTGGGACCGCCGTTCGGTGGAGTGCCGTAGGAATCTACTGATTTATTACTCATTCAAAGACTGCCCAGTAGTACTAGTAGTAAGTGTCCAGAAAGGAGTCAGGAAGGGAGGTCTCAGAAAGAAAATGTCATAGTCTTAAATCAGTTATATTATAATTGTTCTTCTTTGTACCTATTTAGTCTATTGATAATACGGTACTCAATAGGCCTAAGCCTAATTATCAATAAAATAGTTTAGAATTTTAACACCTAAAACAGTACATCTTGACCTCTTTAGCCTGGCCAATAAAATCATTAGATGAAATGATACATTATTATGGTTTATTTTGGGTTAGCAGAAAGGCTGCGGCTATTCAGACCAGGGTCCGAGAAATTAAAAAATATTTTAAAAGTATTGTAGGGTTTGTAAGACAAAATAAGTTATCAAATGAAAGATAATTGAATGGACTATATGACTTATTCTTAAGTTTAACTAAAATAAACTATCATTTGTGAAATGCATCGCCTCTATTTGGACCCGGGTCCAAATAGCCACTTGGTAGTGGAAAGGATAAACAGTGTCCCGTCTCGAAACACTTCAATATAGACATAGTATTTTATTATTACTATTGGCTTGTTTTAGTTAAGCATTTGAGTGATTAATTTTAAAAAAAACTTTTATTTGCACTTAAAATTTAAAAAGATACACACATCTTTTACTACTTTCTTTCAGGTCTGATTCAAGCAAAGAAATTATATATCATTTTTAAAGATGGCTGAAAATGATAAAGATAGTACAACTGAGGTAAATGAAGAAATCCCAAAGTCAAAGTCACAAAATTATCACAGCCTAAAAATATATTTTTAAAAATAATAGCCTTACTATGAAGCATCTTGAGGAGCACTGATCTAGTGCATTGTTTTCAAGCTGAAAAATTGACTGAAATTTTAAAGATTTTTAAGTATAATCTAAGTTCCAAATAAAATGATAATTAATAGCCTATGTAAACTACACTTGTACTCACCCTATGAGTGTGATGCTGCATTTTTTAGTAATTTCATTTTTGTAACTGAAATTACTGAAATCAGTAAATTCCTGTAAATTTGTTTGATGTTCTATTTTAGTTTGATGAGGATGACAATGAAGAGGACATTCCTTTGGAGAAAAGGAAGAAGATTTTTTCTAAGGAATGTAAGCTGATAAATAAATCCATTAGAGACACTTTTTTTTTTAATGTAGAGTGTTTTTAAAAATTAATATATAATCATTTTATTTTGTAATAGTAATATTTTTATATAGTTATTCATTAGTTAACTTTAATGGCATTATTTTTGAAGATTATATTTCAGTTTATAAGTCTCAAAGTATGTTATATTATAAATTATATTGATTTTTTGATGATGTGTGATCAATGAATTATAACTAGATTTTCGGTTTTGTTGATGAGGCAATTTTCGCCTGCCATATTGCAAATCCTGTGAAACTTCACTGAAGTCATAAAATGACACTAAAGGTTCAACATTTATCTTCCAACGATGTTCTTGATTATATTTGAAGTCGAAAGTGATATTAGCCCGATAAAAACAAGAAATGACTATTGATGATTTTGTGTATTTTCGCCTGATTGAAAGTTCGCTATGGGGGGGGGGGGGGGCTTCATAAAAATTGAAAATAAGTATTTAAGCTTGCTTATACTTATATTAATTTCTTGTTCCAGTTTATCAAGTGCATATTTTCTTATTCTTATTATCTTTTTTATTCACATAATCATAGTAGATTTAAATTTCCTTTGTTTACATTGGATATGTTAAGATGAGGTAATGACTCTTTGGTCTGTAATATATTCCAAGATTTAAACGTTTTTAAATTTGAATTTCTATTATTTCTTTGAATAATGTATTTAGTTTTGTTCAGTTTGTTTTTTTATAAGTCTTAAGATCCAAGCCTATATATGAATGCTTATATTCTATTATCATTTCATGACATTGGGCAAACCATTCATCATGCCAATAATATTATTGTCATAAGACCTGAGCTACCTACTAAAACCTGTCCAAGACAAGACAAGATAAGGAGTACATCCACCTTTATCACTTTTCAACTTCAATTTACATCAACAAGGCTGGATATGTTTTGTAAATTTACACAATAATTGAAGCTGCAATTTTATGGCTACAAAGCCAACTTGGTTTTAAAACTGGACATTTCAGCTGATAACAAAATTTCTAGCATTCATTGGACTTCTAACCTACAAGCCCCACTTGTGTGTACTGTTACTAGATAAATGGAGTTTATTCATTGGAATATGGATTCCATAAATTGTTTTTAGGCCAATATACAGGCCTATGCAGTAAGTTCCTAAAGGAAAATAATGAGTAATCGGCTGATAAGCAGGTACAGTCAATTTCATCTGTACCTGGAGCAACCATACAATAATAATCAAGATTGGCAGGAGAGGGTAGGACATACTCATTTAATAAATGTAAGACAATACGGGTATGAACAACATAACTGTAAATGAATTATTGGTTCTTGCTGATTCAATTTTCTAATTAAACAGTGTAAGAGGTTCTGTTATTATTGTAGGTTAAGCTACATGCAACTACTGTGGCTAGTTGATTGGGTTGTGATAAAATTAGTTGATTAAAGATATCAGCTTTGGAATAAATACAAATAATATGGACAACAATATGGTTAGTAGAAGAAGACAACAGTGGCCAAGGGGACTTATTCTTTCATTTTAATTAATTTTCTAGTGTTGGCTTATAGTCATATTTCTTTTAATCTGAAGAAAACAAAATGCATGTATTGAATAATTAAAAATATCTGAGTGATAACTTTAGTCTTTTTAGTTCCTCAGTAGAATTAATCAGGCAGTGACAAACTTTTTAAACAATACTGTTTCTGATGCAGCAATATAAATGATTATAACACAGCAATGGCATGCTGTTAAAACTGAAATGGTTACTTACAGAAGAGATATGATGTGAAAATCTTTATTAGGTTTATAAAACAGAGTGAAAATGTAGGACTTGCGCTGCCAATGTTAAAAATATAGTAGTGTTTTTTTTTGAAAACAGAAAATGTCATATTTCATAACAATATTTGTTTATTTGTACCCATGTGGTATATTCCTTTTTTTAAATAAGTTAAACTTATTTTTCTCCACATATATCATTTGCTAATAATAGTAACAGTATTTCTCTCATGAAATACTTGCCTTGTTCTGTTTAATTTTTTTAAATATTAAATTTAAAAAAAATTCAGCGTTTTTAAAATGTATGTATGAATCATAATGAATTTTTAAAAGTGGCATAATAAATACAAATGTTGGTAAAAAGGCTTGAATTTTTAACATTTATTTTTAAAATGGATACAATTGATGGATATAATAAAGATTTTAACTTAGGAGTCAATACTTTTTGTTTTGCTGCTACTTGTTTGCTGTATTTATATATATTTATATATAAAGAAATTTAGCATACCAAATCTTTTGGCCATAAATAAAAACTATAATTAACTAATCTCATAATAGGTATCAAATAATAGATCATTCAATTCTGAATCCAATGATCTATAACTTGATATTACTGCTATGTTCTTCACTGAACTGGCATCCAGATTGTAATGGTACCTAATGAGGGAGAAAAATAGCATGCAGAAAACCAAGAATATTTGAGAATTAAGTAAGTTAAAGTTACTTATTAATGTTTCTATTAATGCTAAAAGATATTTATATGTGTTGCAGTGCGATGCATGATGTATGGCTTTGGTGATGACCAGAATCCTTACACAGAATCAGTAGACCTTTTGGAAGATCTTGTAATTGATTATATTACTGAAATGGTATGTCTGATTAAAGCAGATAAGTATAGCTAGCTACTAAATCATGCCTCTTTTCTAATTTTAATATTATACTAATCATAGAGTATGTTATGATGTTTCCATCAATGTCCAAGGGGTGCCATGGGCATAAAATTTCAATATTATAAAATACAATAGAAACAATGAGGTTTTTGGAGAAACCAGTTTGTAGACCATGCTTCTTACTTGACTCTACATCAAACAGGGCATCTTTCTCACTGGGAGATGATGAATAGATAATAATCCCACTTCCAGCAAAAACAAAGGAGATCTCTAACATTTTTTTTACTGTGCTCCGTTTTTTGTCGTACTTCTATTTGTCCTGTGCACTGAAGAAGGTTCTAAGCCAAACGTTCATATCTTACTGTTCATTCTTTTGATTCAAGCTTCAACATACCTTGTTTTACTATTTCATTGGGAGATGATGGCATGTCAAAAGCAGTCTCCTTTTGTGAGCTGTGGAAAGGGAAGCTAAATGAAGCTCCAATACCTGTGTCAGAGAAGAGCTCAAGTGCAGGCTAGAGAAAGTTTGAAGCACTTGACAAGAGCTTAACTCTGATTATGACAAACTTTAACATAAACTGTCATTTAGTCTCAGGAGATGCTTTGACTGTACCCAAAGGTTATACAGTCTGTATCTAAGTTCAGAATTTAGCTTTTTAGTCACCTCCCAGCATGCCAAAGACTATTTAACAATATACCTATGTCTATGCAAGATGCATAAGAAAGAAGAACAAAATGTGCCTATACATATATAGTTACTTTTGCTCATTTACATTTGAAATTTTATAAATTATTGATCGTAGTATAAGCTCCAACAAAAACTTTTTGTTATAGTGAGTTTTCATTTATGTCTATGTTTTCAACAGACCAAGAAAGCCATGGAGATTGGTAAATCAGGACGAATTATTGTGGAAGATATTATATTTTTAATTCGCAAAGACCCTAAAAAGTATTCCAGAGTGAAAGAGCTTTTGCTCATGAGTGAAGAGCTTAGAAAAGCAAGAAAAGCCTTTGATGAAATTAAGTATGCAACGACAAAATGATTTTTTTTAAAAATGATTTTCTTCGTTAACTTCCCTTGTACATACTGGTAGTTTATTTAGTTAATGATGAAAATGTCTGTTGTATCTGTGCCTATTGAATAAATTTGATTAAATTTGTCAACAACTAAAATTAATTGCAGAATGCCTCAAATTTATCATTTTTTTTTTTTTAAACTATACCGTAATTGTTATTACTACAGCTGTCAGTAATATGGCAGAAGTGGAGAAAAAGTGATGAAAAAATCAATAAATGTTAATTACATTGATCTGACATGTTTAACATTTCATTAAAATAATAAATTGTTTTAACACTGCACCGGTGTCATGCAACACATGACAACACTCATGGAAGGTAATTTATATATATGTACAAACTGAGGGGTGGGGGTTTGCGTTTAAGGGGTTTTTGCTAACTGAAGAATAGTCTCAACAAATAAATGCAAGAATTATGAAAGTCAAAGGATGTTAACAGAGATTTCACAAATACAAAGTAACCCCAGGCCTAATAAGTGATATGCCAGAACACAAGCTCTGGATTTTAATATTTCTACTGACAGTCAGTCAGTCATAATTAATAAACAAATTATAAAAAGGGGGGGGGATGAGAAATTAACATCCATTGTAAAAGCCAAGACCAACAAAAACATCCCAAGCACCCGAGTGGATTCGACTCGTTAGCCTTGGATGGCAACTCATGTAAGAGAAAGCAAACTCTGAATTCAAACCAAGAGCCAAAGTGATCAATAAATTGATTGTGGGCCCTCAAATATGGAAAAATAATAATTCCATAAGCTTTCAGATATTTAGAATCAGGGAAACAGAATTAAAAAGTATTGAATAAGAAATTTAAACTTAAATCTTGAGATACAGTAACTTAAAAAAAACCTGCTAAATTAGTCATTTGAAACACATTGTATCTGTAGGTAAAGTCACAAATTATTCCCATTAATTATTTAGTCACAAAGTTACCACCATGTCCACTATTTGCTGAATTTTGTGAGTACAAAATTATGTTCTTTAAAAAAAATGCATTGATTTTTAATAAACATCCACCACAATTTTAACATCTTTTCACACTAATTCACATCCATGTATTGGAAATTGATTAAAAATATGTTTATACCATTAAAACAAAATAATTTTTAGAGTTATTTATCATTTCATTTATTTGCGTTGTAAAGTGTATGTATAAATATGGTTTTAATGTGCTTAGCTACAAAAAAAAAACATACTAGCCAAGCGGAACAACATATCAGAAGGAACAAGATATATTCCATACTTTTATGAATCTCAATATTTTAATTTGTACATTTATAGTGAAACAATTTACAACAAATATTAAATTTTTGTCACATAGCATTAAAATGGTAACTTTTAAATATAATTCATAATCATTGTGACACTATAAAAGGAAGTACTTCAATTTATTTTATAACTTTCTTTTGTTGCCTAGCTCGATAAATATCATTAACTGGTGCTGCTGGATTGATCTCTGTATCTTCATCATCACTTTCATTCTCTGTTATTTTTCTTTTACGAGCACCACTAGCAATTTCAATGGACAGTTTAGTGCCAGGATCAAGACGAAAATCCCCATCTTTTCCATTTTCCTCGCCAACAGGTCCTTTAATAAATAATAATTATTGTTGAAGTCAAGGAACATGAATTAGTACCTTACAAAAACTTTCTTTAAATACTAAGTAAAGTTACTCAAGATACAATTTGTCATGTACAACTGCTTCGTTGATAAGCAGAATGAAAACAGAATTCTGACTCTGGGTACTGGTAGTTAAAAAACCACTAAGGAAACAGCACTAAAATTAAATTGTTGAATTTGACTATCCTGTTCATCACCATAGAAAAAAAAAGAAATTTTCCCATTTGATTTATTTATCAATGCATGCTTTTAAGATAGCTGTCCTTGCATAAGTGGTCAAGCATTTGCAATTATTAGCTAGGTTATTCAACTATCAGTACTTCTGATATCTGATGTTTTTTGTGTGCAGTTTGTAAGGTATTGGAGCAGAGGGGCCATAGCCCAGGGTAAAATTAAGTTAATTTAAGCTTACAGTAGCCACAAGTGACCTAACACACAAATTAGGCAAATATATTAACACTTTTACTTACTGTCAGGTAGCTTGACATGGCGCATGAAGTCTATCAGTTTATCAATAACAACATGTGGGCCCTGTAGAAATAATAGTATATATAAATATATGGCCTGTTAATATTGTAATACTAGTAATACAATCAACATTTGAAACAACTTAAATACAAATTAAGGAAATATCTTTTTAAACCCACAAATTGCAAACAAATAAATTTGATAATTAGTCTTCATTTTAATTAAATATATGTCTTATAATTTAGTGTTTTTACAGTGAGGTATAGAGAATTTAATTTTCTCTATAAAAACACCATCAATAATACATACATGAAAACATTCTGGTGGAGGTAATGACTGCAATAAAACTGCAGCAGCAGGTGGGGGTGGAAATGTTCCACCTGGCACAGGATGGGCTCCGGTAGCTTAGAAAATAAAAAAGATGATTAATGAATGAAAAAATGATTGAAAATACTTATGTTTTAAAATTTTTCACACTTAATGTTGATATACTCTATAACAGGTATGTTATCTCTCATCTCGCAACTCTGACTGCCCTCTTCTCCTACCGTCGGAGCTCTCCCTGAATGTCCGCTTCTCTTTCCGGCCGAGTTCTGTCCAGTCCTGTCCAGAGGTCCCTATTTATAAGTCCCAAGCCCATAGAGTTTCTTTCCCAGATCTGTAATCTTACGCGCCCGCCCCTTTGATCAGTCGGTCGCTACCCCCACCCCTGTCGCCTCCAGGTCCGAACCAGTCGTCCCAGGGAAATAATCATAGAGCCTGTCAGGTTGCCACTATTTCAGTTGTAGAAACCTTAAGAAATGTACCGGTATCTCAAGGCCAGCATAATTTCTAATTTTTATCTTTCTCAATAGTGAACAGATGGTAAAAATAAAATAAAATATAGGCTTTACCAGTATTAACAAATCATTTGCGTTTGGATGTTTAGAAAACTTAATATTTGTCCAGAAAATCCTGCCTATATTGGTTGTTTAAATAAGCTCTAAGCGTTTTAACTTTCGCAAAATATTTTGCCAAGTTTAAAATTTGTAACATATATTTGTACTATCAACATCTATCTTTCAATTGTTACTTTAGTTTTACTTCAAATTATTGCTTATGTCTTATTGGTATTTATATGTAATAAAAGTATTTTGGATTGTTTTATTGGATAGCCACAGGCAAGCAAAACAAAATTATCTCCAAAACTAGCATTAAAATAGAGATATTTTGAGTTAACACCAAACATTAAAAAAACACTATACATTTCAAAACCATTTTTAAGGAAAAAAAATTGTGTGCTTTCTTTCATTCAGTGCAAAAATATTTATTTGAATTAACCACGAAATGTGACGCATGAATGTTAGTTTTAAAAAACTAATTTTTAATAAAATAGCAACATGGAGCTTAATTACCCACAAATAATAACAGTTATTCTTGGAATTAAAAAGTTAAAAATATAATCATAATGGTAAAAAGTGTTGCAGTTGGTGCCAGCATAGGTAATTTCTACAGCAAGGCCTTGCAAACTTACGGACAATAGCTCTTGGTTTAAAGGGCAACATCTGATCTATGTCGGGTGCTGGGAACTTTGGCCGCTTAGCTTTTTCATCTTCATCCTCAGCGGCTGTCAAAAGCACCTGCTTTGCACCACCAGTAGGTAATTGCAATACATGATGTTTAACTAAATCCTTAAAAAGAAAAAAAAAATAATAATGTCTGGGTTAAAAATAAATTTATATCATCGATATTATCAAATAAAAAAAATGACAAAAGGATTTATTGATGTTTTAAGCAAAATATTTCTTTATTTAAAAAAAAAATAAAAAAATTAGACATGATTAAAATTTATATCTTGCATATTTTTTAGTTTAATTGTTGTTTAGCAAACCAATAGTCAGTTATAGAATTTTCAATTCATAATGATAAAAATAATTTTATTATCTTGTGTGAATTCGATTATCCTTAAACATTCTTAATCTTTTTTATGATTTTTGTCCTGTAAAATATTTTTTGCGCTCCTGTTAATGCTTTCTTACCCAGTATCCTATGGCCCTCAGCTCATTGTCAGCACAAGGAAGCAATCCTAAAAACTTGTATCTGTCTATTAAAAGTGCTGTTTCCTTTTCATTAAATGCTTGGATCTGTTTATAGAAAGTACCGGTAATTAAAACATAGTGGATCAATGTAATACAATTGCAAATTACAAAATTTCAATCTGGTTTATTTAAGTAGTCCAATGTTATGAACTGGATTTGTGGGTCTGATTGTGTATGAAATTTGTTGATCGTGAGTTGGTGAGAGGTTTTGTGAGGGCAAGTTGTGACTGGTTGGGTTATGCAAGGTTAATAAAAACAAGGGAGTTGTTTAAATGCTGTGGAAACATGGGGTGGCAGTATTTAGTGCAGTTGATTGAGAGTTAGTATACATTGAGTTCAGTTAGCTGTAGTTGATGCACAGTAGCTAGGTGTGTGTTGCTATTGAAGTCATGCCGAGTCTTTGTTGCATAAGATGTTAGTCCCCATGACGGAGTTGTGTACTATATGATATTGATGTCTTGTCAGTACTGTGAAGAGTCCATACCTGGGTAGCCAACCTGAGTGGTACAGGGGTGGGGGATCCCACAGAACGAAGACTGACCAACTGTCATAGGGTATCACATGACACTAGTACCACCGTTATAGTGACACTAGTGGCTAGTTAATGTCCATTTAGATGGAGGGAAGTGTTAGGAAAATTTTAGTACCAGAGATGTAGAAATAGATTAGCTCTGGGAAGGAATCTCTAGAGACGCCATGACCAATTTGGGGACTTATAAAAGGGGACGGTAAGACAGGACTAGAAAGAACTCAGCCGGAAAGGAGTAGAGGATAGTCAGGAGACCACAGTAGATAGAGATGAGCTATGACTGTCAGAGCTTAGTGCGAGATGAGAGAAAGTGAAATCAAAGTAGCAGATAAATAAAAGATCAAGGCTGTAACCATAGTCAACATTTTATACAGAAACAGGGTCATAACATCCAACTATTTCAATTGAAATACACAGTATGGAGTTTAATTCAAATCTTATATTTCAACTGAGCTCAAACTGATCAAGCTTTTGTGACCCTCTTTTATATTTTCCATAAAAATAAATTACCTTTTCTAAAGTTGATGCTCTTCTTTTTTCAACTTTAACAATACTTGCTAAATCTCCAACTTGAGATTCAAACAATAAAAATTTGCTCCAGATATCCCTGAAATTATTTTTAAACAAAAGTGTTCATCAACTCACTTGAAGCAATCTTTTAATCACTAGAGAAATTGGTTATATTACCGGTATCTTAAAAGTTAAGTGGCAAAGTCATTTTAAAAATAATAATAGCAACACTCTATAGCAGACCTGTTTACTATTACGATTTTGGCATTCAATGTACGATTTTGAGGTGTATACATTATATATACTTTATGTTTATTTTTTACTATTAAGGTAATGTATTGAACGATTTTGTGATGACATTGTACCATTTTAAGAGTTTGGGGGTAAACAGGTCTGCTATAGGTATCTTTTATATTTATATAACAAAATTTTTAACACAACATCTGATTATATTCATATTGTAAATTTATTAAAACTTACCGGTATTGTTAACTTTTTCCAAGTTTTTACAAATGATATAATTATATTATTATTAAATGACTTAATATTCTAAATATATATCTTACGTAGACTTTTCAGGTTGCAGGTGTTCAGAAGACAGGATTCTCTCAAACAAAACCCTTGTGTTATTGTCCTCTATAGTGATAAATCAGATTGAAACAAATCTATTTAACCTTTAGACAATAACGATTTACCTGAACTATACAAGGATAACCAGTTTGTTTACCCCTCAATTTAAGAAGGAAAAAAGAGAAAAGAAGCAAAATGATTTTCTCTGTAATTTTCTTCACTTTAAAAGAATTCATTTTTTTTTCAGAATAAGTCCTTTTAAAATATTTGTATATTTATATAAAGTAATCCATTTTTTCCCCCTCAATGTTACGCACTCTAGATGTACTAGTATCTTTTACTTGTCAAAAGTAATCAAGTGTATATGTCAACTAGTTTTGGTGATCTAATTTAATGTATTTCTAAAAGAACATATTTTGTTAACTACACATTTTTTATATGAATTATTTCATAATTTATGAAAGTTACGACTTTGCTGCATTTAGTATAGATAGTATTTAAATCCTCCAAACACTGGTCTAAACCTACCATTCAAATGTGACATAAAGTCTATGTAACAAGATGCATATTCTGGGTTGTCTCCATACCGTTTTAAACCAAGCTCAAATATTTTAAGGGCAATATTTTTCTCCTGAGTGTAAAAAATAAAAATAAATGACTTGATAAAATTTAAAAATAAGAACGATGATTTGATAAAAATTTAAAAAATAAGAATGAATGACGAAAAGATATTTACTTTTTTCTAAAATATGTTATAACTAATATTTCTTAAAACTTATAGCACTGGAACAGCCATTTTACATTACAATTTTTCTTTTAGATGTATCATTATAAGATTGCATAAGTAGGCAATTGATTACCTTGCTACAATAGTATTCCATTAATGCAGCAGCAACATAAGCATGATACTCTGATCTTTTGTCTTCTCTTGCTGATTTGAACACAAGTCTCGCTGATTTAATGCCCTCGGCTCTCCTAGCAAACTTCATGTATTGTATGTAAGCCTTCATTCAATTTTTGAAAGAAAAGAGACAAAGTATGATGCAGTCCTTGGTTTAAAATTTCTGATTAAAAATATTACTATGTAATTGATTACCAAACATGTTTCTTACTTTAATAAAGATAATAGTAGTTATAAATTGCATATAGATATCTCATTTTTCAAGGTAAGATAATTTTCCAAACACTCAGCAAAGATTTTTTCATGGAATCTAAAAGATAAGCATTAAAGCTTTAAAAAATTTTTTGAGGAAAATTATATAGATGGTTTTTAGCTTAGTTAATTTAATGGTAAAATGTTAACATTTACCAAAGTAGGTTTTGCTTCCTCCACGTCAAGGAATTTCTTATATATTTGATGAACTTTTTCAAATTTCATGCGTCCCTGTTAGAATTTTTTTTTTTTTGAAAGTTTAAAAATTAAATTTGTTATTAACGTTATTTTATGCATGACAATGAAAACTAATAGCAATTTTCAACCTTTGGCATCAGTCTTGTTATTGTCCTCTTAATAAGTTTAATAAATCTATTGCTCAAGGATTTAAGAGGCTTTGATGAGCAATGCTTTAATACAATATTTTTAGATAAAATATAAGGGGAAACAATACAATATAAATTACTGATCTTAAAAATTAATAAGCTCTCTAAAGATAATCAAATTCTCATGTAAAATTTAATAAACTTGATAAATGGTGACAAAATGGTCATGTAAGCTTTTTTTGTTCTTTTCTGAATTGAAATAAAGTCACTGAAATGTTTATATTTCGAACAAAGTATTTGTTCAACTTGGAGTTCATTCTTAATTTAAGCTTTATATTTAAATTAAATTTTTTTTTTTTAATATGGGGATGGCTAAATTTAAAATAGAGACATAATGATGTAGAAGGTGAAGAATTTAAATTACAAGAAGACTTTATTACCTCTTCAAAATCTGCATAAGCAAAATAAATGAGCATATTCTTTTTCATTAGTGAGTTGATAGCCCTTTCAAAGATAGCTGCAGCTTCATCAGCAAAAAGTTTTCCAGCATTTTGGTCCTGAAAAAAATATTTTAAAATTTCTTTATATGATGAGTTTTAGTTTTGAAGTATTAGTTATCTTTACAAATTCATACACAATTACCAGATAATTTATGTAATTTTCAGTAGAAACAATTGGTACACTTTGAAAAGTCTTGCTTATTTTAGTTACAAACATAAATTACACTACAAGTAATGGAGTATTTGGCTGCATCATAGACCCCAACAAGGAATAGTTACTAAATAGTTGCATGAAAATCAATTAACAGCAAATGGAACAGCTATTGAGTTAATTTATTTTGATCACTCATTTTCATTATAGCAATGTTTTTGGATCTATTACTGAATTAATGCTCTTGAATTTCAACTTACCCCCTTTTCTATTAGAATTTTGCTGGACTGATCAAGATATGATGCCGCTTCAATCCAAATGTCAGGATGGTGACCCAGACATAACAAGCACTGTTCATAAGCAAACATCACTGAAAATTTTTTTTATTAAAAGAGATTAAAAATAGTTTTTGTAAAATCTGACCTTATAGAAACACAATGAGATACAATTATATTTTTTTATAAAACAGTAAAAATAGCAAAATTAAATAATAAAATGTTTCAATGACAGCTGTAATATTTAAATATTTTTTAAATATGTTTTACTGTAACTGTCCTCTCACTTTAGTTAACCTCTCATTGGAGATGGTTATTTGTAAATTGCATGAGATATATTCTAGGCTGTCTGGGTGTTTTCCTGATTAGATGGGGTAAACTAATTAATTGTAAAACTTTTCTATATATAATTAATTGGACCAATGCTAAAAAAACCCAAATAATTCTGGTTTAGTTTTTACTAATTTATTTCATTACTGTTGTAATATTCTATACTGCCTTAAATTTCAAATTTACAATTTTGAAGTTGTCTGTGGCAAGAAATGTATGCTTCATGTATATTCTGAACAAAACACAATCTTATAGTTTAATGTCATTTGTTGAATTACGTAATATATCTGGTTCAGAATGGAATAGTTAAGATAGTAGGCCCTTGACCATGATTTGAACTTTTAAAATACAAATTTAAATTTTCCATTTCTCATTAACTGCCTTAGACCCTATGTGACCTAAAATAATATTGCATAGAAAGATGACATGGCATAGACAGAATTAAATAGTTTAATATTTTGAATAAACACAAGAAGTCCAACCATGTCATTAAAGAAGAAAAGAGTTTTAATTAAATTATTAAACAGCGCAGGATTGTCAGCTATTTTATAGTCAATAAATAAATAAGATCTTAGCTAACGAACCTCTCTTAGTAATAACTGTTTGATCCTCAGTTCGCAAAGGATTTTTCTTTTCCCATGCAATATATTTCTTCCAAAGCTCAACCTAAAAAATGGATTTATATAATTTTTTAAAAAAAAAAGAAAAAAATTAATTGAATTAAATTAATTTTTTTTAAAAATAACACGGCAAACAGAATCCAACATAAAATTAAAAAATTGAACTAATAAGTTATAATTAATCTACCTAATGTTTAAATATTTACCACCTTTTGCTATAATGTAGATTAAAATCGATTTTAAAAAATTACATTGAATTTCTCCAAAAAATGTAAAGTTCCGAGTCCGTAAGATGGACAATACTGGACCATCTAATTCAAACTATTATTAACTTTCTTAAAAGCTCATATTTAAATCTAGGCATCCTGGATCTTTTTCTAGTTATTTTCTCTAACACAATATTCTAACAGTAACTTTGAAAAGGGGAAAAGTCTTTGAACATCATTTTATAACAAAGAAAATGGTTCCATTTGATGACCTCCAACATAATATTCAATTTTTAAAATGTATCAATTTCTGCATTTTTTTTGTACAATATATTTTCAATGCAAATTATGCAATGAAGAGATGAATGTCATCCTTATGAGGTTACAGTTTGACAGTAACATATGAACCTCCTTTTTAGATTGCAGATGGCATGGTAAACAAAGCTATGCTACAAATCCAGATATGTTGTTAGACAATGCTTATTGGTTATGCCCTATTAAAATGTAATCCAATAAAAAATATTCTTGAATAAAAAAATAAGAGAAGGCATAATTTACCGGTACTAATGAAATTTTTTCTATTGATGGCAAATGTAGAAATAAGTAAATTATTGACATAAAATTATACCTGTTTCGATTCATTGTATGAGTTTTGTGGAGGGACTGATGGGGCATTTTTATCCAAGCCTCTCGTGGCCACTTCATATTCTTTAGCAACTCGCCTGGCACTCATGTACTCCCGACTTCTATCATCTATCATTTTTTTAGCAATCAGATTGTTGATGCTCTGTATTTGAAATAAGTATTATAAGCAATGCCCAAAAGTTCACTTTAGACTAAAATGGAGTTAAAGTTGTAAACTTCACAGCCTTAATTTTGAAAACGATCATTGGTTCCACTAATCAAAATATCATACACTCTTTAGCAATTATATTGTAGTCTTTGAAAAACATCCTTCAAAGTAATATTATGAAATGAGTTAAATTGAACTGAGATAAGGGGGAGCAATTATTGTAAAATATATAGCAATAAAAATAGATTTATTTGTGGTAAACATCAAAAGATCAATAAATAATATTGCAACATACATTTTCATAGGCAGTGTAGTCTTTCCACAACAATTCAATATTAATCATGGGATTGGTAACACCCCTTTGATAGACTTTTCTTACAGCTGTTATTCGCTGATTTTCGGCATAAGACCCTATAGCTTCACTGTAAAAAATGTTTTAACAATCTCAATCAGGTAACAATTTTTATGATAAGAAAATCCTTAGTTAGTAAAATCAAGCAATATATTTTAGAATACCTGGTTCAGCTAGTTGAAGTTTACATTATTTATTCGATGCAGCCTCCTGGCATCCAATGACCAAGCAAAACACCAGAAAGAGCAGGGGTTATTAACCATTATGCCCCATGATTTAATTATTTTTTTTCTCCCACTCACACAAAAGAAAAAAAAAGATATGAAAATAATTCGGTAATAGTAGTTTTTCATTTTTAATTGACTTTAATTCTAGTTCTTTCCCTTTTCAGTTTTAGTGTTTGCTTCAAATTTTTTTTTAGAAAAACCATCCTGCAACTTTTGACACTGCCTCCCTGGTTAAGAACCCCTGAGATAATAAGCATTCAATCACAGTCCAATAGAGGTTGGACTACAAACTTAGTTTTGGCATTGAAATGATAACAAAAAATGAGCCTCAAAGAGTCTGTGTTTATTTCCAATAAAGTGCACAAAAGAATTTGTCCGCAAGCAAGAGAGAGTTGAAGGCTGAATATGATTTGCATTGTTAACAAAAATGAGACGCGTTCATAAGAAAGTAAATAAATTCTAAATATTTTAGCAACATGAGTCTTCAATACTTGCTTTATTGGTATATTAGTAACCCAAATTTGCATCACTGTAATATAGGTATGATTTCTTTCATTTATAAAATTCGTTGAAATTTGATATAAAGACAATTTAGAATATTTAATTGCTTTTAAGAACAATAATAGTAATTTATGACTATGCATTATTTTCGCAAAATTTTAATCAACCAAAAGCAAGTTTATTTCAGTGCCAACCACACAGTAAGAAATCAATATAATCAAGATGTTAAAAGGCTATTTATAGAATAACTAATTAAATTTCAAAATCAAATGCTTACACCGACTTGAGAAAACTGATATATTCTGCCCAGATCTGATATGACATGATGTCCATGCCAATTTTTTCAAGGGCAAAATCATATGCTTGAGCCATCTTTTCCCTGTAGAAGAAAAAAAAGTCTCAATTATAATATATAATTTCATGCACTAACACGGTTTTGTGACGTAAGTTATAATGCTATTATATTATCTTTCTTAAATTGTAGATTAAACTGATTAAAACTATTTTTAATCATAATGGTAGCACAATGCTAATCATTAGAAGAATAATGAAATACCTGTAGGAAGGTAGTGATCCTTTAGTTTCTTTAATGTAAGTCAAGTAGAGTTTCCATAGTTCTATGTTGAGCACTTTAATGAGGCATCTTTGAAACAACTGTGTGTCATTTAAGTAAAGGAGTAATGTAGATCCAAAGCGCAGACAAGGCAAATTGAATTAGAGATGACATTGGTGGTTGTGGTGAAATATACGCCTTTGCATAGCCATATACACTATAAAAAAATCTAATCCATGAATTTAGGAAGAAAAAATATCAATTTCCAGGACGCACTGTTTTTACAGTAATTGTAAGCACCGATACAAGAATTTAACTGCAAAAAGTTTCTAGCATGTGCAAGAGATGATGTGTTAAAATTAATTTTTATTAAAGAAACTATTTTATTCCTTATCTAAATTACATTATTTTGGCAATAACATATATATAAATTAACAAGATATCACTCCATAAAAGGGAGCTACTTTGAAAACAGACTAGACAAACACTGGAGCACTTCAATATCTCTTTATTAAAGTTATTGCATATGTCATAAGATATAAAATTTCGTTTATCTATAAAAATAATTGTCCCCAATCTCTTTAGTTATTCCCTTATGTGAACTTAATGTTACTGATTAATATACTAAAGGAGTGTTAAAATACAGTAATAAAAACAATTCCTAACTCCTGAAAACATTCATAATTTATCATTATGTCCACATATATAAAATAAACTTAAATCCAAAGTTTTCTCTTGTTTCCTCAATGCAGCATTTAATAAAATTGGTAACTAATCAAGCACTGATATAATAATCCAGAGGCCTATTTTAACTTTGGAGAAATCCCTCTTCAATAATTACAATGCAGCTGAATTTTCTATTGAGCTTATTAAACAGACTCCTTTCACAAAGTGCACAAGGAATCATCCATGTTCCAAACTTAATTTTAGCATTCACATCACTACGCTTTGTTTACTAACCTTTTCCACACGCTCAAAGTTCTTCAGTTTCAGCTGAAACAAACCATGGCAATAAACAAGGTCAAAATAACCCCTTTTGAAAATAAGCAATGCTTTATTTCTTATATTAAATGTACAAATGCAATTTAGATACAACATGTGTTTAAAATGTAACAATAACTATCTATTCAAATGCAAAACACACATGTAGAGCCAAATTAGCTGTATTTGTATACAGCTGGAGAACACACTTTTAAAACAAAGATATTTGCTGCACAGCAATTTTTTGCATAATTGGAAAAAAAATTATTGAACTTTAAAAAAAAAAAGGAAAACTTATTAAGAAGAATCAGGGAGGAGGGATATTAGGCCTTTTAAAAAATGTCCAGTTTCCAAGCATTTATTTTCAGCATCAATGTATTTATATTCTTTTTTTTATTCATAGCTTCATAGTTTGTATTATTAAGACATGATATAAATTATCTTTGCAACATTTCTTTCTGTATTAGTATTATTTCTTCACAGATAATTTTGGTCTCTTTGTGAAAAGATATCAAAATTATTCCCTATGCCCCATAAAAAAACAATCTGCTCCATCAGTCAACCCACCTTGAAGTACTCAACATTAAATTCATAAATTCAAATTGTAAATCCTTTTCAGATCTGAGAAGCAATATTTACGATTTTTTTTTTGTAGCAGCTTGGGAGAGCTTTTGATGTAAAATATATTTTGTTTATATTTATATGTGTACATAGCTTATTCTTCATATTTCCATGAATTGAGTTCTTAGTATTTTTTCATTCATTTATTGTGAGGCAAGTTAACATATCTGTTAATTTTTTTAAATTACATTCCTTTAGGGAATGAAATTTATAAAAGTACTTTATAAGTCGAATTTTGCATATGTTGATCAATGGACATTTGTTTCATTGACAGATTATTTTGTAATTTTGTGTGTATGTTATGGCTACCGGTACCAGTAATTTGACGTATCCACATGAAGTTTTCTGACCAATTAGGTTTTCACCAGAATAGTTCATTGGGAATGAATTATAAAAATGGAATCTAAGTGAACAAAGAAAGAAAAATAATGTGCTTTTTCAACAAACAAAATGGATAAAATGTTTTTAAAGCTAACCCCTACTATCAGGTTGACATGCACCATCCACAATTGATAAATTAGTCACCATAAGTTTTCTATTTACTATAATTTCAAAGCCAGTGACCCTATTTTTTGTAATAAACCTCCCCCTTGTCAAAACAATAAAATCTGCTAAATTTACCTGCAAACCATTGGAACAGGTGGCAAATTTATTTGGATTTAGTTTAAATTGTACATATCAGTTATTAGCAACAATTTTTACACAAAATAATTTTTTTTTCTCATTTGTTGTTTTTGTGAGAAAAATTAAGTGATCTACTGAGAATGTTATAAAAAAAACTGCATTGTTTGTTGGTACCGGTACTATTTAGCATGATGAAACAATAATTATACTAGAGGACACAGGACGGAAACTCAAACTCAAAACAATGAAATGATGTGCATAAAAACAAGTCAAACTCAGTTGAATGATTCTTGCACACATTCTTTTTATCCTTGAATACTCATACATAAATAAACTATTAACTACTAAAAAATATCTCTTTACTTCATAATATGTAAATGTGCAAATCTAAAATATTTAAGTAATTTAACACATACAAAAACAAATTTTCATTTCATTGAATGAAACAGCTGAAAAAGAAAATTCATTATCAAGAAAAAACACAACACACCCCACCCAATTAAAAAGTCAAACACGTGATTGTTTGAAAACTTCTACTTTATAAACAAAATTCTTTAGAAGAAGCGTTTCAATAATTACCATATACTTTATACACTATAAAAAGGTGCTTAATTCCAAGAATGTTTGTGATTTTAAGAATTAACAAAATAAGCTACCTGTTCTTTTTTATTCATAATTATTTAAAATTGTTTTCAAATATACACAAGTATAAGCCAAACCGATTACATTAAAAAAAATGTATCAAAATAAGAAGAGTCTCCCCTTTTTATGTTTATCACAAATGAGTTACCTTGTGCAAGACAATGTAACTCATTTATTCTTGAAATTAAGCTTTTAGAATAGTAAATATAATAAACCTCATGTTCGATATAGATCTTCCAGTACTTTCCAGCATTAGGGAATTGTTCTACCAGTCTCTCATATGTCAACCTTGCATCTTCAATTTTTCGTATCTGAGAAAGAAAGATTAAACAGTATTTAATTTGCTGCATGGCAATATGAATAAATATAATTAATGGGATACAGATAAGCTAGCATTTTAATGGGACTTCCTGACACTTTAAAGAGTTTCAATTGTGGCTGATTGACCTGAGGAAGAAACAGGGGTCAAGCTGTGACTGCTAACTGTGTGTGCCTGAGTACTAATTTGCAAGCATAATTGGGAAGGGGGGGGGCTGGGGGGGGGACATACTGCAATTGGGTTATTTAAAGGAAATAAGTAGCACAAGGTAGGGTAAAGCCTGTAAAAGGACAAAACGACATAACGGATGTGTTGGCACATAGCATGAACACCATGTTCTTGTCGCTAACACTTTTATACACCCTTTACAACCAATCATCTTGCATCTTCATACTCTAATGGTCCATAGCATACGTTTTCCCCTACTTTGTGCTAAGCATTAACTAATTTGCACAGAGTGTAGACCTGTTTACCCTCAAACTCCTAACATTGTCACAAATTTTCGCTGCGGTTCAGTCGTAAATAATAAATCTGTCCTAAAATTACGTCATACAGCATCCAAGCAAACGCGAGGGTCCATCTATATAGTACGTATGCAAAAAGTGAATTCTTCTAACCTCTATCCCCAATATTGCACACACACTTTTTTTGACAACCCCCTCCCCATTGCGTGTACAATTAGCTTTCAACCCCCAAATCACCCAAAAAAAAACAGCCCCCATCCAATAATCTTTATTTATTTATGATGTTACATTACTAAGCAAAATGTGACACAGGTTTTCTGGCTGTTCGGTGTGACCAGTGGTTACCAGAATATAATCTGCATCGCCCTGGGGGCTTGTTGCCCTCGTGCCAGGCCACGAGAATGGGATGAAAAGCAACAGGCCCCAAGTCATCTTTATCTCAAGGATCTTAATAGTGAATTAAACTATAAAATCCCATTTACTTCACAAAGACAAGGGGCACTAAAAATAATCCTTTTACTGGCCCGCACAACAGGTGAGAGTGCACATTTTTCTACAAGAGTTGCTGAGGCTTCCTTTTGAAATATTACAAAATTTTCATAATTTTATTTCCATTTTTCATCCAATGTAACAACTTTCAATAGTGGTGCAAACAGTAACTCACTTGAGTAACTACTGTTTGCAGTAACTAGATGGCAGTTAGCAAGCTACATACATGTTATATTAACTTTTACCCAACCCTTTATTTCATTTTATGTACTCCTTACGTCAAAGTGTACTTGTTAGAATTTAATGCAGAGAGCCTGGTGAAAACCTGACTATGGCATGGCAATGGGAAATGAAAATGTTAGAAGCAATGGCATAGCCCAACAAAAATATATGTCACATGCAAATTGAACATAAGGTGGACTATATATTACTCTGATATTTCTACTTCTTAGTACTATCAGAGTATATCTAACAAGTTCATTTGTGAAAATACATGGCAACATTATGACGATAATTCGTACAAAACACTGATATTTTTTTACAGCATTCATGCTATTTTTGGACTATCACTACTATCAGAGTTTCTGGATGAATATTGTAGCTTTTTTAATAACGTAATTACTTTCTACCAACACACCCCCCACCCATTACGAAAATATGTTAATTTGTATAGAAGTAAATATTTGGAATATACCCCCCCCCCCACAAACAATCTCTTAAATCAACACCATGCCCCTCCACTCTCAAGGCAAACATAATGTAATTATAGATGGTCCCCAACCAATCGTATTTCTTAATACATTCACTGCTGGATGTGGAATGCAAATGCAAGTTAAAACTAAACACTGAAAATGAACTTTTCATTTATTATTATTATATTTGAAATCAGAAAAACTATCAGAATGTGAATATTTTCAACCCGGTCTATTAAAATCATAGTTCTGACAGGTCTAGGCATACAATCCTAAAAGACATCTCAAAATCGTACATTGTATACCAAAATCATACAAGTACCGGTTAGTATGAGAGTGAAACTTCAATTTTCATTTGTATGCAGCTTTGGCTTCTTCCACCAGCTAACAAAGCCAGTGCTTTCCACATACTTTTCCTCTACCACTGGCAAACTGTTGTATACCGGTACACAGGAATTTAGCTGTATGACCTCTGGCCATAAAAACACAGGCACATATTTGTTTCTATTTCTATATTTTACTTTTTTTTAAAGTTTAATTCATCAGATTTCTGAAACTAAAATGACCATCATTGATTTTTAGGATGGCCTCAGATAAAATTACTTAACAATTAACAAAACAGTTTAGAATAATAAAAGCTAGATGCGTTTAATTAATATCATCATGTCAAAAGAATGAAAAGCTTTCTTTTATAGATGTAATCTTTGCAAAATATATATTTTATAAAATAGAAACATGTTATAGGAGAGTCATCAAAAAATAATATGAAATATTAATCTATGCCTATGCAATTTAATATTCTTAGTTATGAAAATACCTGTGCATCTCTAATCAAAATACTCCATGCTTCTGTATCATAAGGATAAGCCTGTATCCTTTTCTCAGCTTTAACAAGCTTGTCTGCAATATAACCGCTACCTTGCTCCTAGAATAAATATAGAAACACAAAGATTCAAAATAAAAACAGTAAATGTGACTGGTTTAAAAAATGTATGGTGTTGGAAGACCTGTGGATTACCCATGATTGTGCCCTTTCCTCACTAGTCTCTGTTCCATGTTTGTTTACATATTGTGCACCCAAAATTAAAGACTGATAAGAACTCTTATTAATTTAAATATTTCAATATTTTCTTTAAAGATTAGCTTAAGTTGTAATCTGATGGCAATGATACCAAAGGGCAGAAACAGGAAGTGTCACATTTATTGCTCAAACACACTGCCAAAATAACCCAGCTGAGTCCTTGCCTTGGAAACCTCAGTTATTACTAGGGCTCAACTCGCCTCAACCCAGCCCAGTTGAGTGCTGTAATCTACCACTCCAGCGTTGGTTATTTTAAAATCAAGCTATTCCGGTTTTAAGTACATTAAAAAGATTTTATTTTACTGATGTCCGCTAATAGGACAGTGGAGAGAGGTCCATTGGGTTTTCTGGGGCATAGAAAAAAAGAGGGTGGGCGCTGTTTTCTTATTGAAGTGCCACACTGAAGTGTGATAACTTAACAGGAGTGCTTATTTAGAGATATATCCTTCCAGGCACCCTTAGTGTATCGGATGGATGGGTGGCTTATGTAACCATAAACCAGATCAGAAACAAAATCTACCAACACTCTGTTGTGGTCCATCAATAAAGTTTTGTCAAAGAATGTTGAAAATATGAGGTTGCGGCAATGCGCAAACTGAAAAGACAGTTCAGCACAAGCCTCACAAGTTGTGATCTTTTCCATTCATATTTGCGCGAGTTCATTTTCCGCAACCATTTTCATTGAGATGAAATTTTCAAAACATTCTGTGTTACCTTGGGGGAGAATTATGCATAAACTCAAACTCAGTTTTCTTTATGATTTTCATACATTAAATTATTTAAAATTAAATTGTTCTATTAAAAAAATTATTAAAACCAAATTAGTTAAAATTTTTCTATTTTAAAAACTTTGCCTGGTCTTGGATTACTTATATATATGTGCTAGGGGTGTGCCGGATCCGTTTTTTTCCAACCGGATCCGGATCCGGATTTTCTTATGCGAAATCCGCCGGATCCGGATTCCGGTTTCTCCCGGATTCCGGTACTATTGGTAGATACTTCGGTAAGTCAAGGTGGACTACTACTTTTTGTGTATGGGAATTCGCAATCGGCGCCAAAAAATCCGAGTTTTTAATTTTCCGATGTGTGTGTCTATTTATTATTAAATTAGTACTTTCGATATATATTTGAGTTCCGTTCCATTTGGATAAGTGTCTTACGAGAGACGCCATGTTTCTACGCGTTCGCAGCAGGTCATGCAGCTCGCTCAACCTAATTTCGCCATGGGGTTGGCCACGCCCCCCTTTTTAATGGCGGAAGTTGACGATACTTAGGAAATATTAATTTATTATCACTATTTACATCAAAATAATTGATAACTTGTGTTTCAGAATGCATTTAAAGACATTTAAACTGGAATGTTTTAATTTGAGCTTTAACAACCCGGTAGAATCCATATTATAAATGATCAGAATTTACCGTGTGCAACACGTTGTCATTGGCAACCATTCACAGCCACTTGCATAACTGTATCGTAGTACTACCTCAGAGTTTCATTCATAAGAGTTTGCCGTGTGCAAAAACTATTAAACCATTGGTCAGGGAAAGCTTTAATTAATTATTCATGTGCCAAAGTTGAAAGTTTAAACTAAGTCTAAACAGTATTTTAGTGATAAGGCAGGGAATGCGTTGCCTTATATAAACTATATAGTCATTGCGCATGACGGGATTGGCGGAATGAGATCACAGAATGTGGAGATGCAGTCCATGTTAAAAAATGACAAACCAAAATTCATAACTTTAAAACTACAACAGCTAAATATATGATTTTGGTGTTATAATTCTTTAAAAAATTACATCTTTTCAACAATGCCATTGGTTTATTTTTACAAATTGGCCACTATTAGCGGTGCTGACTCTAGCCTCTGGTATGTACGGAATATTAAACATTAAACAAGCTCAACGCTCGAAACAATCGATTAATGTATCGTGATCGTGTGGAATTCGGGAAAGAGAATTACTTTTACTTCAGATTATGATCCGGTGAGTCACAAAATCTGGCAAATTCCGAAATCCGGTATATTCCGGATTCCGGAATCCGGTTGTTCCGGATACATGTAAATCTGGCGGAACCGGATCTCACCGGATAGTGCAAAATCCGGCGGAACCGGATTCCGGACCGGAATCCGGCACACCCCTAATATGTGCTAAAACTAAAATGAATAAATACATTTTATCTCATTAGTAAAATAATAACCCTTTAAATAGCACCTCAGTTTCAGGACTTAAACCTGAAAGAACATGTTTTTTTTCAAAACAGACTCTGAAGTGTAGGATTGGCAATTACTATTAAGATTAAGTAAGTAAATTTTAAGTTACTAAAACTTAAAACTGTATTATTTATTAAAATTGAAAACTAGCAGATTTACATATTAATTGTTGAAATTGAAACTAATTTTTAAAAATTGTAGATGCCTTTTCTTTTTTAGTAGGCTCTATTATTTAGTTAGACCTTAAACTAAAAATTTCATATTAATATTATTATTTGTAATAATTAATTCATCATACCTCCGGGACCAGTGGCTTTATTGTCCCTGGTAGTGCACCGCGGTCAGCCAGAGTGACACTAGTGGGCACGACAGAGTGCTGTATTACCTTTGGTGTTATATGCTGCATTATTAAAAATTCAATAAAAACATAGACTCAATTCAGTAATTGCAAAACATTTTATGGCGGTCATAAATTGATTTAGGCAACGCTAGCCGTTGTCTTCTATTTAACCGGAAGTCAGGCTGTAGTATCAGCCGTATTCAAATGTAATTCCGTACCAGAATATAGTCAATGTGTTAAATGTTTTAGGCATCATTATTCTTTGTTGCCCTGGAACTTTTGAGTTATTTAGTTCACATATTTCATGATCGATAATTGTTAAAATAGCCAAAAATACAGAAATTTTACATTTAGGATACACGAAAACACTAATGAAAAAGCTATAGTCTCTAGTTATCGCACTTTAGTCTTAGTAACTTTATTAAGTTATGAAATAGCAAAACGAGGTATGTGGAAGCTTGAATTAGAGAACAGGACATTTCGGCAGTGAGCCTTCTCTAATTCAAGCTTCCACACACCTCGTTTTGCTATTTCATTTACTAGGCTTGAATGCAGTTCTTTAATTATTATATTTCAGTAACTTTCAGTTATTTTTAAAAATCAATCAATGATAATTATAACAAACTTCATAAAATTTTATAAATATATCATTAATTATGTTTTCATTTCATTTAATGGTAGACCTACATGTAGAAAAGATCAAATAACACATATATTATTAAAGACATTAATAATAGTTGAAATAAAAATATTGTCTGGAAATAGGGAAGGTAACCATAGTCATAACTAAAGAATCATGTCTCTTGGAACCCATAATATTATTAAAAAGGAACGATCACTCTTGAACAATAACATTTTTAGATGATTATTGCAACGGAGCTTGGCTACACTGTATCTTACAGTATGTTACCACTGTATTAGTGTAATGTTATTTTGAAACAAGGTAACTTTCTCGAATATAATCATATAGATGATATTGCATCGCAAAATCAAATACCATTGACAGGCCTAAATTATATATTATTAATACCTAACTATTCAGATATAGTATTCATATTCTGTTCTTTTATTTCTTATTAACTTATTATGACATTTAATTTATGTCCATGACAACTAGCCTAACCAGCTAACCAAGAAGACGCCTAGCCTAATAACTCACAACTATTCTTCTTTTTTTATTATGTCCATGACAACTAGCCTAACCAAAAAGACGCCTCTAGTCTCTAGCCTAATAAATAACTCACTACTCAGTGTCAGTAGTAACTGTAACTGTCCAAGACTAATGACTAAGTATTCAAAACCAACATGAAATCGTTTCTAATCTAAGGAAGCATCTAATGAAGTCTAGGATTTCTCCACCCGGTGTTTTATAAATATACTATTTCTTACTGTTAACTGTTACTGTTAACACTCAGTAGTAATCGTTTCAGTTTCAGTACTACAAATACTTTTAATAATAATACTAGACACTAGTTCTTCTGACTCTGTTAAATGTTCATTCTGATGAAACATGAGTATGGGACAGCACAGATTTAATTATTAGTTTTCTTGAACTGGAGAAGTAGAGTCTAGTCTAGAGTTAAGACTAATTAAGAGTTCACACATTACAAGTACTTTTAAGATTACACATGAATGCAGCTGTTTAGTGTAACTATAACTATAAGCATCCTAGTATCATATTATATTATATTATTGAGTAGGAAGTTCTACTACTGTACCAGCCTGCCCTTTGCCCAATTATACCTTTAAACTACATAATAAATATTTAGGCCAAAGTTCATATGAAATTAGACCAGGGTCTAATATTTCAAAATTTATCTTAGCTTCCTAAGAATATACAAATCCATTAATCAGTCACTTTGCTTTTGGATTTAATATTTTTGTTAAAAGGCTATCAATAAATAACTCCACAAATATTTATACAATTTGTCATGAATTTGTCTATTTTGTGTGACAATGGAGAAAGGGGTGAAAAATCGATAACCCTCAGAATGGTGTTTCCAAATGTTAATTAGAATACTTTTCGTTAGAAAGTGCCCAGCTACTAGCCTAACAGCCACTGATAATTGGGGACATAATTGTTTACTTCTAATTTTGTTTGCAGACTAAGCTTGTAATAATATAAAATAAAAAATAACATGGCCAGCAGACTGCAAGCGCCGGTTCATATTTCAAATAATATCTTGCCAGGAAACATTCTGCAAACTTATGACACAATGCTGAATGTCCTGTATGACAGCATTAACATGCTACGGTTAGTGTGGCCTGCTGAACACCATCTACTAATATGAAACAGCAATTCAACAAAGATTAGTTTTCTTTCTCTCTTGCATTTTCTTTTTTTCTCCTCTTCTTTTTTTTTCTTTTTCTTTTTTTTTCCTGTCACGATTTGATGACGATGAAAAAGCTGATGAAAAGACTGATGAAGAAAAAATGCATAAATTTAAATAGCGGCTATTAGGCTGGTAGCTGGGCACTTTCTAATGAAAACTATACTATTTGACATATGGAACCGCCTTTCTGAGGATTAACAAAAAATATACTTTATCTCATTTTTGGATGGGCCCTAATAACAATAATAAATACTAAATACAGGAGGCTAATGATTGATTGTATCACTATAACTAGAGAAAGGACCAATAATGATTCTCTAGTTTCACCTGAAACAAAACCGAAAGTTAAAAATGAGTTTCAGTCAAAACCGAAGCCGAAACCAAAAGCTAAACCAGACTTTCATGTGATACGAAAATAGAAAGATATATAACCCAGCATATGATTTTAAAACTATGTCATGAAACAATGATGCAAAAAATTCAACACTATCAACAACACTTTAATAATTTAGTAAGTTATTCCTAATCCAGAAATAATCATAATGAACGTACACTAGTAGTAACAGTCATTAAATAATTATAATAATAATAATAAAGTTTACATCAAAAACACGCTTCATCCCCAAAGGCTCGAAGCGCGGTACAAAGTCCGAAAAAAATAAATCTATAATATACCACATTTAAAACAAACGCAACACTACAAAAACTAATTACAAGCATACCAAGTCAAAGTCTTTCTACCCATTTCAACCCTAAGCAACACAGCCAATATGCATTAACTGGAAAATATGGTAGACAATCATGACAGTTCATTCAGCATTAATCGGTTAGTAGTTAGTAATCGGCTGCATAGAGTACAAAATTGCAACTTTGTGCTGCCGCTGCTTACATGACCTGGCGCCATCTTATCTCAAAGCACTCATGACGCCTTATGTATCCACTAGAGAGCTCCGCTCATCCGATAGTGGCAAAATATCGATACCGTGGTTCGCCTTGAGACTTACAGAAAGCGCACTTTTGCATTTGCCGGCCCAACAATTTGGAACGCACTTCCAGACGCTCTCAGAAACAGCCAGACACTGGAGTCCTTTAAAACCGATTTAAAAACACATCTATTTCGCAAACACCTTCTGGGGTGATGCTATCTACCATCTTTTTCAGTTAATGTATATTGGCTTGTGTTGCTTATGGTTGAAACAGGATGAAAGACTTTGACTGGGTATGCCCATATGTATGCAGACCGGCAGCCAGTGCAGCTCCCTCAGAAGTATTTTAGCATGGTCGAATTTGTGTTTGGGAAGAACAATGCGAGCCTCATTATTCTGTGCTCTTTGAATTTTATCTAGGAGCGTAGCTGGGAGACCCACCATGAGAGCATTGCAGTAGTCCATGCGTGATAACACAAATGCAGACATCAGCCTCTTTGATGCATCTAACGTTAAGAAAGGTCTGATGTGACTAATCCTGCGCAGCTCTAGGAAAATTGCCTTGCAAAGCATGTTAATATGATTTTCCATAGTAAGTGTTCTGTCTAAATAGACACCCAGGTCTCGCACTGTATGAGTAAACTCAATCTGCATACCTGAGAGAGTAAGTGATGTTGTGTGTTTTACAGATTTTTGTTTCTGAGCAGTGGCAATGGGGATCAGCTCAGTCTTTTCATCATTCAATTTGAGCTTGTTTATGGTCATCCAGTGCTTAACGGACTCCACTGTCTTCTGTGTCGTACTAAGAAGTTGAAGGAACTGAGAGGGGATCACGGATTGATGAAGTTGTGTATCGTCCGTGAACATGTGATACAGCATGTCAAATTGCTTGATCACTGCACCCAGTGGCTGAACGTACAAAGTGAAAAGCATCGGGCCTATGACCGAGCCCTGGGATACTCCTAATTCGATTATGGTTTGCTTCGAGGTCAAGCCGCTTGAAATAACTGACTGGACCCGATTTGTCATATATGAGTGAAACCATCTCAGGACGGTATCTGTGAGACCGAACGTTTTTTGCAGACGCTGGAGCAGTATGCCGTGGTCAAGTGTATCGAAAGCTGCCGATAAATCGAGTAAAGACAAAATGGATACCTGGCCCTCATCACAAGATGACAGAAGGTCATTTATGATGTGTAACAGGGCTGTCCCAGTAGAGTGATACGCCCTATATGCTGACTGGAAAGGTTCAAACAAGTCACACTGAGTGAGGTGATCCAGTAGTTGGCGGAGAACAACTTTTTCTAAGATTTTGGATATAAATGGTAGTTTTAAGATGGGGCGATAATTTTCCATCACATTTGGGTCAAGATTTGCTTTCTTTAACAGTGGCGTCACTATTGCCTCTTTAAAAGTTGATGGAACAATACCAGTTTTCAAGGACCTATTTATGATACAAGTGATGATGGGCACTATTTCATCCAGACATTCATACAACAGCCTTGTTGGAAGAGGGTCGAGTGAGCACGACTTTCTTGGGGTATTAGACAGGATTTTCCTCTCATTCGATTCACTGACTTCAACAAATTCACCCATAGGAGAGCCGTTGAAGAGTGAGAATTCTGGAGCAGTATCGATGCAACTGTCAAGTTTCGCCCTGATCTTCTTAGCTTTTGTAATAAAGTAGTCATTTAGAGCGTCTGGCAGCTATTCTACAGCAATGTTATTTGGCAGAGATGTAGCCTTGTTTTTACCGGTCAGCTGACCCAAAATGCGAAATAAGTTCTTGCTTGAGCTGCTGCCTGTAATCTGATGACTAACATACTCAGTCCTAGCTGCAAGGACCAACCTCTTGGTTCGTTCCCTGTGGTCAACAAAGATTTGTTGGTGCACAGTCAAGCCCGACTTCCGCCATTGGTGTTCTGCACGTCGC